TGCATCAGGCAGGAGTATTGAGATGTAGATACATTGCTATTAAGGAAGCATGTGATAAAAGGAACTTCATGCTCAAAAATCATAAATGGGTAGATTACATTACAAATTTAGCCCTTTATATCAGTGTCCACAAACTTCGATTGGCCTGTCTTCCATTTTGTGATGTCACTTTTGCTTGGGTTTGTTTTTTTTTTGTTTCTGGGTTTTGTTTTGTTTGGTTTTTTTTCCATTTTGCTTTTTTTTCCAAGTGTATTGGGTGTGTGGATCCAGTAGCTGAAAACTGATAGGTCGTGATCAGTTTTCCATAGCAATGGTGCCACTCCAGTGTAATTGGCTAACGGGTGATAAATCTCAGTAAAAGCTCTCCTCTTCTCTGTGTGGAATTCAGGGTATTAATTTGAATCTCCTAAATATCTTGGAAGTTGAACATAACCTTTGTACCTGTAGAATGTAGTAGACAGCAATTTTCAAATTTTGTTATTTGTAGATCCCTAATATTTTTCCCATGGGCACAAGAATCCCATTATAGTGAATTTAAGCCTGTTAGACTAGGTTTAAATTACTTAGTTATTGTCTGCAAGCCCCTTAGTAGTAGTACGCTGACTTTGAGGGGGCTGCAAACCAGAGACTGAAAACTGTCATAGTAGGCCATCAAGCTTGACTCTTTAAATTGTATTTGGAAAGTATTTTAAATATATTTATTAATAAACATGTCTTGTATTCATGAGTTAAAGTCTAATTTAGAAATAGCTACATAGGAACTAAGTTTTATTTATTTGACAGTTATCTGTCATTCTTATGTTAACCCTTTATTGCCAATTGTCATAGCATCTGTGTTTCATACTGTGAGATTAAAACCATGCTGTAGCAGGATGTTAACATCCTTAATTTAGCCAATATAAACCTTTGCTTTCAAACGTAATTGTTCTCAAATTGTGCTTTTAGCATCTGAAATCTATAACTGTTCTTGTTGCCTTGCTTGGGCCTCAACTCTATAGTTTGTAGTCTTAAAGAAGACAGTATGACACCAAGGATCACCCTCCCTCCCCTGATTTTCTCTTTTGTGGAGGTTTTTTGAATGCATACTGAATAAGGTTTTAAAAAGAACCTAAATGTTTTTTAAATTAAATATATATGTGTATGTATTTACTTTGCTTGTTATCAGAGGTAACTAGCTTAAACATTGCTGTATGTAGATATCTAAGCAAATGTTTCTTGTATGTTAATTGCTTAATAGAAATTGAGCATTTTGCCAGGAATTCTGCAAAAGGAAATGTAAAATATGTGGTGCTCAAACTGGAGAGTGAATCTAAAATTGAGTGATTTCCTTAGTAACCTGTGACTTCACAAAACTCCCTATCTTGTCCCTTTTTAGTTAAACATTTGGATGTCAAGTGTCCTTTTGTTATACTTTACCATTTCTGATATTTAGGTGCTTGCTTTGAATATAGCACTGCTGTTTAAACAGGAGATACTGTTATTGAATAAACTGCTACCATTTTAGCTACAGTACAGGAATGAGGCAGTGCAGTGCTGTCAGACGCCATTTTAAGAATCCTGCATAAATAGCATAGCTACCGATGAGTAAGAGACTGTTATAGGTGAGTGCTTATACAAAGCTGCTATTTATTCAGCAATGGCATGCAAATATTTTTTTCAAATTTTTATTGAATGCAGTTTTTTGAAATCATTATTTAGAATTGCTACTCACAAATGTGATATAGGAGAGGCAGGAATTATCTTAAGGATGAAATTCAGTTTTAGTGCTTATAGTCTTAAATCAGGGTTTTTTTTTTTTGTTTTCTATTAATTAAAAGGAAAAATTAATTCCATAAGTATATAGTTCTTGATTTTAAATGAATGTGTTTATTCCCTAATGCAGATCTAGATTGTGTATGTGGGCATTAGCTGTTTCGAGTGCTTTTCCATATCTGTCAGTTTTTCTTGGTTAAATGTCAAGGTGCAGTAGTTCATCTGCAACTTTTAATTGCTCTTTGTAGTTAATATAGGTTAGAGCAGCTTTAAATATTTTTGTATATGTACATTTTTCAGGTAAGTACTACTACTAGTACAGGAATGATTTTCCTAAACAGAAAAGTCAATATTTTATTTACTGGTCTGAAATTTGAAAAACTGAATTTCCTATAAAAACCCCCACCTTCTCTTCAGTTTAATAGAGAACATATTTAGAAATTAAGCGGGTGAGTTCTTTTTGTATTTTTACCTAAGTATCAATAAATCTTGTATGTTTGCAATCCTTTTTTTTTTTTCTCCTTTCTGTCCCGAACTATCCCTAAAGGAATAACCTCCACCCCTTCTCCCCTCATTCAGACATGTTAAAATAATTTGTATGAAATAAATCAGTTTAATATTTTAGAAAACATTTTTTCTTTTTTTTTTTTTTGTAAGTTCTGTCAATAGGAGTGGGGAAGTTTTAAATGATTGATTGGTGTTCTATTCAATTGACGGTGAAACTGGCAAAGCTTAAATTTCAGTTGTGTTCTTAAAATATGTTCCTCTGTGTTCATTCATCTTAATGAGGAAAAGAGTGGCTTTCAGACTGACATAAGGTATTTATTGTGTTCATCTATGTACTTAATTGAGTATATACCAGTATCATTTCTGATCCGCAACCCCAGAGCATCACATTCATAGTACACATGCAGGATAGTAATGCATGCTATCTGAAATAACAGCTCTAAGCCCTGCAAAAATGAATTCTCAAAACAAAACTCTCTAGAATAGTCTGCTTGATCACACAGTTATTGTTTCCATAGAACTAGATGCTTGTTTGTAATTATTTTGCTCCTGGTTTTAATTTTATTTTTATTTTTTTTATGGGTAATAGTAAGGTGCTTGTCATTGAGGACCAGTTTTTCATGAATTATGTAAACTGAAGTCTTTTGCTAATGAAATTTCTGCATTTGGAAGTTTGTGCTTTATAAAGCATATTCAGATTGTTGCTTTATTAATGGAAAGCACAAAGGTGAAAAGATCTGTTAGCTTTAGAAAAGTTACTGTAAACTTGCTGTGAATTGCTAGTATGTATTTACAAACTTGAGTCTTAAACATTACCACTACAATCATCACTGCTGCCATTCAAACAATGTCTTGTCAAGTCATAATACATTACAGCAAATAAAACAATGGGAGATGCTTCTGAGGAGCTGTGAGTTTTAAGTATCTTTTATAGCTATGTCTAATATGCTTATTTAACTGTTGCCCCTCCCATTTTGTTTTTTTTCAGAACAACCTCAGTGATTTTCTTACATACTTAAATATTTGTGCCCTTAAAAGATCGAGCGAGATTAATTATAGTAGAGAATATGGAGATGCAATCTGTTCCTCTAAGGCTCAATTTTCATAGTATAGTAGATAATTGCTGAATTTTGTTTTAGTTGTGGGTGATGCACAGTGTGCATATGTGTGTATAGGATATATGCACCTCCATTGCTAAGAAGAAGGAAGAACCTTTGTGTCAAGTGGTGAATGTGTGTCTGCCTGTTCATTTGTATTTCAAATCTTTGGGAAAGCTCTGCTCAGGCATCTTTTATGTGATGTATCAGAGATGTGTCAAGTCAAGATACTTTCTTCGTCTTGGAACTGCTGATGAAGAACGTTTTTCTTGTCTCCAAAGATCTATTGAAACACTCAAAAAGGTAATGGAGGAAACTGGCAGACTTTCCTAAATTAAACTCATTAGATGGGGAGAGACCAGTCTGGAGCTGAAGAAACCTCATATGCTGTAACTAATACATAGAAGTCCTGACCTGTAACACCCCCGCAGTGCTAGGTTTGGGCACAGGGCTGCAGAGCATCTTCAGTCAGCTCTCTAGCTTCCCCTGCTACTTTGGTCTGGGAGGTAGAAACAGTTCTTGCTACTGTGTTGCTGTACTGATCTGTCACACCCATTCCTCAGCCAGGATTCATGCACAACTTTCTCTTTTAATATTGACTTGTAGCAGCTACTGTATCGTTCTTGTTGTATCATGTTCTGCTCAGGTTGTGATTTGAACGAAATGCACCTGATAGATTTGGATGGGTCTGGAATGTTATGATTGCTTTAATGTAACTTAAATGTGACCTGCTGCTATAAGAATATTTACCCTTTTCCCCCTTTCCCCACATGTGGTACACTCTCATTTGCTCTTTTCTGCACATCCAACTGCACAGGGAGCTAGCTCACAGAACTGATTCAGTTGAAATGAGCATGATTTCTGGAACATGAAGTTAGTGATTGGGGCAACCATTCGTTCTAGTAGCAACCTGTGTAAAATGATCTTAAGACTTCAACTGGAGTCTCATAAAGAATTGTATGTCCTGTTCTGTGGCTGAAACTATATCTATATTTTAAAACCAGGTAATGTGTACTGCCAAATTACTTCACTCTTGACAGAATTAGTGTTTATTCTTACATATTTACCTGTGTACATTATTAATCATATATACATGATGTTTAAAAAATGATGGGTTTTGTTACAGTTTGGTGATACTGAAAAAGGATTTTACAAGGGGGGAGGGGAAGAAAAAAACAATGCAACATTGGAAGAGAACAATGAACCCATCCTGGGAGCCCATCCCTTCCTGTTGCTTAGGAAAGAGAATGGGCAGAGGCAAGTGGTGCATGAAATGTTTTGGTGTCTGGAACACACTGCCAACTCCTCTTTGCTGGAGGCCCCCTGGGAAAGGGTGTAACAAATGTGCGGTATAATTGATCTGCCCATGCATAGTAAATTGGTAAGCATTGTAGTACGGTCAAATATGTTATGCATTTAATCTGCTCATGCAAAATAAATCTGAGAAGCATTGTGCTATGGTCAGCTGTGCTACACATTTACCATGATTCTGGTCACAGGAGTGCCTTTCCTTGCTACTGAAATTAACAGCACAGTCCATGAACTGGGAGATTAGATGCTGGTAAAATAGAACTTCTCTTCAGTTTTTTATGACTTTAAAGAGCTTAATTTGTAAATTCTTGCTATATATAAATGACAAGCAGAGAATAATGATTTCTGGAGTTCATGGATCTTCTCAGCTTTGGGTCTTCCATATATTGAGCTTGGTTAATTTGTATTTAAAATTTTTGCTGGCAGAACTGTTCTGTTTAGAAATGTGAAAGGTACTGCAACGCAACCCCCAGGTAGCTGATAGTTGAGTAAAAGTAGTTTTGCCAAGTACCAGACTAAAAAGTCCTTCTACTGGTAAATTTCACTTTGTTTAGGAAGCTGTTTTAACTTACAGAGTAACAAAGCTCCTGCTAATGTAAACTCTTTGTCAGGCCGAGGAATTTCTCTGGTGTAAATGTAACCAAGTCCTCAGTGTTGTTTCTGGCCTCTGATTAGCTGTCTTGGGCAGATTAGACCTTGGCTAAAGCAAAGGTCTCTAGCTGTCCTCTTGGCATCTCTGGTAGAAATAGTTGCCCCTGGAGCTGGAGTGGCTGAATGAAATCTCGGTCCACTCCATGGCAGCAGTAGTTCACAGTTTGCCATATCAATGTAAACTGGTACCAGCAACAAGTTAGGTTAACAGACTAGACAGTAAATTGTTACTACAGAGGAAAAGATCTACATCCCGCTTGGCTGTTGTGCTCTGGTGTTGTTAATGGACAACTGTGATACCTGCTTCAGGCACCATGACCTCATTTGTCTATCATTTTGAATTTGAGCTTGCTTCAACATCAGATGTTTTCTTTTATCTTTCATCTGCGATAGTCAGATCTCCAAAACTGGTGTGTAACTCAATATTCATTCTAGTTCTTTTTTCTTTTCCCTTTCACCTTCCTTCCCCAAAGTGATTTAACAAGCCAAATTCATTGAGTTATTTTCTTGAACAGCATCACTATAAGAAAGTAGAATATCAGAAAATCGGATATAATTTGTCACCTACTTAATAATTTAATCCTGCCTGGAGTCATTTAAAACTAGTAACATCTCTGTTCTGTTTACTCTTTATTATCATTAGTAATTGGTGGAGTTGTATTGCCAATAAACTATAAATATTCATTTTTTTGTTATATAGTCTAGTTCTGAAATCCTTGAAATTATTTAGTAGTTTTTAAAATGGCATTTTACCTTCTAGTTTTGCAAGCTGTTCTGTGTTGCTAATCTCTTACTTCAGCTAATCTGTTCAGTGATGCTGGTGAGTGTTTAAATGTTAGCAGGCATCTGTCCACACAGTTTATAGAGGCCTTAGATTAGGAGCTACAAGGAATAGAATTCATATTTGTCTGTCACATATAATTTATACGTTAAGTGACATAACCTTCAGGACATGTTACAAGACTGTCATTAGTATGAAAATGTTACCTTTGTAATTGGTAACATGCAGCATACATGTGTACCTGGATTGTTTCCCAGTCAATGTATACTTTGGCAAACAGCAGACCTTCCGTTTCATCAGAAATTTTCCTGTAGTTGTATTTGACAGTGTTATGTTGAACTTCTGTACATGAAGTTAGACATGGGAATAATACAATCTACAACTATTCTAATTTACCTTTTTGAATCTTGCAGCTTGGCTGAAGAGGAAATAAAGGCAGAGCAGGAGGTGGTGGAGGGGATGGATATCTCCACTCGATCCAAAGGTGAGTAAGAAGGAATATTTCATCTGTGTTCTACAATGTACGAACATTTGTAAACCAGAACAGTGAAACTGTGTAATCTACCATGAAGCTACTCTTGAGTGAAGTCTCAAGACTCATTGTATTTTTTACAATGAGTATTGTATGTTAGAAAGTGTTTTAATTTTTGCTTGGTATTCATTATTTGTCTCACCTCTCCCCCACCCCCCATCCACTGTTATTTCTGGTTTATGAATAACTAACTTAGGTTAAATTACAAAAAAGCATCAGCCTCTTGTATCATCTCACTTATCATGGCTTCCTTTAAAGTATTTTTAGATTTGCAATGTAGGAGAAAATACAGTAATAATAATAAGGTAGTATTTCCTACAGTAATGAATCCCAATTTTCTTAAGAATAAAGAACAGCAACATTTCTGTTTCCATAATAATCAGTCCCCTGAGCAATATGTATTTCATGGACATTTACATATCCATTCCTGACATGAATTAAACTTGGTGGTAGAATTGCAGGTGGCTGAGAATTTATGTCCTTATGGTTTCTGGAGTTTTCCCTACCAATGAGGT